GCTATAAAAGTCAACCAGTTTCAGGAATTCAATCATTCCTGGAGCAGGGTTTTACCTTTATACACTGAACTGTAGAATACCTAATGCATGCATTGGTTTCACAGGCAAATTCGAATGCAGAGAACATCAAGCTGATCTCAGCTATGTTGTGTGCTGCTCTGTATCCCAACGTTGTGCAGGTAAGAGAATGCTTTTTCATTTTTCCTTCTGCTCTCATATCCACATGGTCTGCTTTCAGTCTGGGCTCATTGTGGTAATCTTGAGCCTGGCTTAGGTTGCCAAAGCTTGCTGCTTGTAGTGTTAGAGACAGGCAGCAGAGCCCCAGTTTGAATTGCTTGGGACCCCTGCTGTTCCTACAGGCTGACTGTAATGTCTCACAGAAACCAGCAGCAAATGTTAAGAAGCTACTTTAAATCACAGCTTTTTAGAAGGCTGAGGTCACAAACAAACAGTCAGGGTTAGACAGCACCTGGAGTGTAGTGACTTGGCATGTTACTACTACAGAATTTCTGGTTTTGAAAAATTTAAAACATAGGGTTAAAAGGCTTTCTGATGCAGCAGATTTTTATAACTTTTTTTCTTACTAAACAGGTGAAAAAGCCAGAAGGTAAATACCAGAAGACCAGTACAGGAGCAGTCAAAATGCAACCAAAAGCAGAAGAGCTGAAGTTTGTTACCAAAAATGATGGTTATGTTCACATTCATCCTTCATCTGTGAATTATCAGGTCAGGATTCTTTTTTTCTTGAAAGCATACTCTTTTTCTTAATAAAAGAAATCATCTTTGCTTGAGTATTTAAGATTACAGTGAGGATCCCTACTGATGTTTAAAAGATCTTAATGATTGAACAGTCCTGTGTTAGGATTGCAAATAATGGTGTGTTCCTGAGTTAAGAGTGTCTTCTTGGGCACACAGTTAAACTCCAGCCTCTGGAGTGGAATTAGGGATGCAGCAAACCCCTGATCATGTTTTCTAAAGCTGCATCTGCAAAGCTGAATGCAAAAAAGTTTCAGCTGCAGTGCTCCCCTGGCTTCTCTTCAGTATTAATTATCTGTTGTTAAATAATTCAGGGACATACTCTGTTTTGTTTCTTTGTGTCCTCAAGTTCTGAAGTTAATTTAATTTCCAGCTTAATAAGTGATACTTAGATAAAAGCTCTTCTCTCTTTACCATGATGTGGTAATATTTGTCTCATGAAGTCTGTCTCCATGTTTGATTCATTGCTTTTCCAGGACATAAGTTACTTGTTCCAAAAAAAGTGGGTTTTCAGTCAAGGCTTTGAACTGTTCGTCACTTTTGCTGTGAAAGAGCATAAAAGATGCACACGAGAATGTTCTTAGCATGAAGTGGAGAACTTGGGGCCTTGAGGAAACACTGGTGAATTAGCTGATTTCTCATGTGCTCACTGCAAGTAGCATGGGGTAACTGATGAAGTTATCTGCAGCTCTTGTGGGTCAGAGAGAGTCTGTTAGTCCTGCAGGTGCATTTTAGGCACATTTGTTGCTCTTTGCAGCTGTAGGAGAGGCAGGACCTGAACAGGCAGGAAGAAATGCATCCCTCTAACGAGGCTGGGGTGTGTGTGTTCCAGACCAGGCACTTTGAGAGCCCCTACCTGGTGTACCACGAGAAGATCAAGACGAGCCGCGTGTTCATCCGGGACTGCAGCATGGTGTCCGTGTACCCGCTGGTGCTGCTCGGGGGCGGGCAGGTGCACATGCAGCTGCAGAAGGGGGAGTTTGTCATTTCCCTCGATGACGGGTGGATACGGTTCGTGGCTGCCTCTCACCAGGTAAGGAAAAGAAAGGATAATCCTGGGAGTGCTGCGGAGCTGTGCTGGTGTTTTGGAATGTCCTGAGCCTTACACTTCCCTCGGTTTTACCGTGTCAGGTGGCTGAGCTGGTGAAAGAGCTGCGCTGTGAACTAGACCAGCTGCTGCAGGATAAAATCAAGAATCCCAGCATGGATTTGTGCATGTGCCCCCGTGGATCTCGGATCATCGGGATGATTGTAAAGCTTGTGACCACACAGTGACATCAGAACAGCTTTCTCTAAAGACTGTTACAGGCCAAGTAACATCCGTCTCTCGATATATTTATTGGTCCAAAACATGGCTTTAATCTCTGGAAGAACAGGTTGGCAACTGTACTGTTGACATTTTTTTAAGTTCTTTTTTTTTCCCTCTTTGTTTGCTCGCTTGTTGGAAGTAAGGTGGCTTACAGTACACTCTGGGAAATGGGAAAACAGCAAATCTCCCAGGAGGAGTAGAAACCTCCAAGTAAGAAAGTGGTTTTTCCTGGGACTATACCCAGTAGTGTTTTCTGGTCACAAAAATACCTGCTATCCAGCTTTTTATGTTTCTTTTAATGTCTGGAGGCAACATGTGACATAATAAGCTACTCTAAATTGGTTTAAACTGACTCCTGCATTTTGACCATGACTTTACTGAGGCAGTCAGTTTGGGCTGAGCAGGGTTCATTGGCTTATGGGTCAACCCAAAGTCATCATACAAATGAGCACCTTTTGATTCACCTCAGGAAGTTCTGAAATTTAGACAGTGTCCTCCAATTAGAGACTGCAGTGGATCAGTTGGAGTGCAGTGTTGGATCAGTGCAAGCTGTTCTGGTGACAGGGTAAAATGCAGGAGAGTGTGGACATTCTCTGTGAAAGGCTGTTCCAGCCCCTCCTCCACAGGGAAGAACTAAAACAGCTGTGAAGGGACTGGATGGATGACATTGTTAATTGTTGACCTGCTCCAATATGTGGTGGTCCTCCTGCCACCCTCCACAGCTGGAAAAACGTCACACTTTTGGAAACTTTATCCAAACTCACACTCCGGGGAATGGACTGCTAGTGTGGCAAAATGCTGCAGTAATAACGCACTATTATTTTTTGCCCTTAGCATTGCTGCAGCCAAGCTGCTCAATGTACTAGCAACTGCAAATAACAGCAAGTGCCTTAAGTGCCAGGACGTGGCTGTCATCTCTAATACTAAAACCAGAGTGAGCGGTCTCTACCACCAGCCCTACCCAGCAGTAACCCTCAGGATGAGGAAGGAGCTGAGGGAGGCACATTGTTTGGGGAATAGTTTGATGTTTTGAAAAAGTAGACTTGAATGTTTGTAGAAGCAGTTTCACACCGACACTCCCCTCGCATGAGGAAGATGACAGCAGTGCCAAGACCAACATCCCTGTGCAGCAGAATGGCCTCTGCAGCTGAACTGCTGCTGCAGTTTAGCCTCAGCCAGCTATGCATTAGAGGGCCACTCCCTCCTGCACATCCCATCTCCGTGACCTGGCAGTGGGAGAGGGGAGTGAAGCAGATATGAGAAAATTCATGGGCTGAGATACAGTTTAAGAGGTAAAGCGAAAGCTGCACACAAAAGCAAAGCAAAACAAGGAATGCATTCGCTACCTCCTATGGGCAGGCAGGTGTTCCACCAGCTCCAGGAGCACAGTGTGATCACACCCAACAGTGACTTGGGAAGACAAGCACTGTCACTCTGGCCATCTCCTTCCCCCAGCTGTAGATGGTGAACATTCCATATGGTCTGGAATATCCCCTTGGGCAGTTGCGGTCAGTGGTCCCTCTGTGTCTACAGGCTTGGGATGGAGTCACCTTTGCTTCAGCAGTCCAGAGAGGAAAAATAGAAAAAAAAAAGCTACTACCTCCTTTGAGAGCACTGTTGCATGGGGCAGTTTCACCACTGCTGCTGCACACTGCAGCATAATGACTACGGCCACAGCAAAGTAGTAACTGCAGCATCATCAGGCAGGGAAGCCACCCTCCCCCCTAAGCCCCAGTGCACTGAAATATGCAAACATGGGGGAGAGGAGGGGTAAGAGAGAGGAAGAGTATTTCTTAATCATATGTATAGGGGCCCATTATCATTCTTTTAATTGCTGGACATCTTATAAAGCAACAATGATTAAAGTTCATCCAAAGCCCTGGGGCTGGGTGTCCATGCACAGCTGCTCCACTGCACAGCAGGGTATCCACCCACAGCTGCCCAAACAGAAGCCACAAAGACTGACTGTCCTCCCACGCTGGTAAGACACAGCAATAGGGCAGAACATAGTAAAAGACTTTTAAGTCAAAATTATCTTGCACTCAGATTTCCTCACTACTCTGATAATAGCCATTATCAGCTGCAAAGATAAATCAAATTGGAAGATATCCTGCCTTTGTTTAGCATACTTCTATTAAATCTCTCAGTAACCTATCCCTGGCCAGATGGGGACTATCCATATACAGGCAGCTACAGTCTGGCTTCCTAAAGCAACCCCTGATCAGGACAGAACACCCCTTCACTGCCAAAAATGTAACCAGGCAGAGCACGTCAGAAAGGTGTAACACAAGTTCTTGATTCCCCAAATATACTGCTACTGAAATATGGTCTGCACATTCTGCTTAGGACATGTCAACTCTAAGAAAAACCTTAAATTTCCTAAAAACAGGATTTAAATGCATTATCTTCTGCATCAGAACTGTCACTTTAAGTATCACAAAGAAACAGCACTATTTGAATAACCAAGACATAAAAAAAGATTTCTAAAAATATTTACTTCAACAGTTTACATTCCAGAACTGTTTCAAATACCTTCAGGTGACAACATGACCGGCCCTTTAACCATCAGGACAGACCAACCAGCCTTCACGCGTTCCTTGTTTTTTCCAATCTGTTCCTGTCCTTCATAGACATTTTTGTAAGTCAAATTACTGAGCACGTGAACACCCCCACACAGGTTTTCTGCTTCACTGAGCTCTGAGGGGGTACAAGGAATACCACAAGGATCCAGATCAACCAGCAGGAATGACAGCTGGTACTGGTAACTCTTAACTGGTGCCAGGCAGGGATGAAGGCACACACCTGCAGCATGGCCACTGCACTACACCCCACTCACAAGTGACTGTCACTTCTGGCCTTCTACTTTTCACCTCACGGGCACCCCAACCCGCTTCCCCAGCCACATATGAACAGAAACAGCAGGGTTACCACAGTCTATTTCTTAGTTAGAAATGCACAGTTTATTTCAATGCAACAATTAAAAAAAAAAAAAAGCCCAACATTTCCAGATCACAGAACATGAACATAACAAGAGTTTTGTATTAGTGTGCTAGTAAGATTTTTAAAAGATGTACTTTTCATGCCCGATGCTAGTCAACAGAAACAGCCTTCTAGGACTAAGCCCTTACATCACAAAATCCCTTACAATGTAAACAAAATAAATTTTTTCTTAAACTTCTGAAATTTTAATCCATTTTGTCAGGACTTTCATTCCTTCAAGGGCTTCCTGATGGTGAGTGACTGCAAGAGAAAGAAAAAGATTAAAAACCACTCCTACAGCAAAACCAAGAGGAACCTTCCGTGCTACCTCAGGCTTCTCCTGCTCTGTCCCAGCTGTTTTCATTTACAGTTCACAAATAACAAGGGAAGTGTTATATTTTACATTTTTGTATAAAAAAACTGATTTAAGCTTATGAGATCAGCTGCAGGTAAGACTGCTCAGAAATCTCAACTCCAGCACACATAAACTCTGGTTACACTGAAAAACTTACTTCGTGGTGCATTGCACAACTTGGCAGCTGTGCAGCTGAGCCAGCAGGAAGTCACCAGCAGGAATTTAATCCTAAGACGTATTTCATGGTTTGCTCCACACCTTGCATTACTCACTTCTTCCCCCGATTCTAAATTCCTCAATAACTTAGGGATACTTTATTCTCATTTGACCACACTTTCTGTTGCCCTTTAACATTTCATTGAAGTAGATTCCCTTAAAATTATTATCATGACATCCTGACTACCAGCAGCAGGAAGTGCCCATAACAATTCATCTTTTCATAGTTCACACATTTAGAAAAGTAAAAAAACTAAGCTTTTGTCCTTGCCCAAGTTAACCTACCATAGGAACCACTCCAACTTTAGTGCTATTTAACCATATGGCACATTCAAGTTTTAAAGACATTCCTACCTTCTCTTTGGAGATGGAGATCTGGATTTTGAGCGACTGTTAAAAAACAAACAAACAAAACAATTAACACAGTACACTTAGATAGTCTCGGTAACCACTTCTGACCATTTAAACCCAGAACAGTTTGGTGGTGTTTAAATGCATTAAAAGACATCATCATTAACACTGCAAACAGCAAGTGAACCCAATTACTTTAAGCAAGAAGCTGCAGGTGAAAAGGAAAAATGCTGAAAACTGGAGCCCTTGGGAAAAGAGCAACACAACTTCAAACCAGCTACAAAGTCATCACGGTAACCCTGCAAAGCAGGAACAATGAATTGACGAGTTAGGAAGAGGGAGAACAATACTCAGTTGAGAACAAAGGTAGGAAAAGATATGCTCCAAATCCTGTCACAAATACCTTTTTTGTCACAATGTTGAATGAAACAAAAACCTGTATGTACAATCATTCTGAATTGCCTACTGTCCCACAAAAATCATGTATTTAAAAAATACATTAAAATAATATATGAAAAATGTTTTTGAAATCAGCTATTAAAAGAACAACAAAAAACCACAACACAACAGAAAACCCTCTTCCGCATGCAACTGAAATACTGCTCCAAACAGATTTTGAACCATGAGGAAAAAAAACACAAAACAAAAAACACAAAAAAACACCAACCAAAGCAAACACCAACTGAGTGCTACTTGTATTTAAACGCTCACCTTTTAGCAGGTAAGCCAGATTTAGATCTACCATGAGACTCAGACCTACAACAGGAGAAAAATAAAGCTCAGCAAAGCAGCCAGTGGCATGCACATACAATGAAAGTTAGCTACAGCAACAGCAAATTCTTATTACATAGCATCACAAACCAGAGAGGAGGAAGGCTCTGGTGCTCCAGGCTTTCCTTGTGACTTTTCAGGAGAATCCTTTAGCTCTTATTGCAGAGACCCCACTTATCAGAAGACAGGAGTGCAAGCACATGAAGCTCCCCAGCAAAGCTTCAGCTACCACTTTCACGAAACAGAAGACCAGACTCACAGACTTTCTTCCTACCTGTAAGTATCTACCCTTCTATAAAGGGAATAATAATTTCAAGTTTCATCTTAGAAAATATAACAGCACATTAAGAGTGTGAAATCAGCCACAAGTAAAAGTGTGCTGAAGAACTGATGCATTCTTCAGGTCAAGTTCCAATGCCCATTTTATTTAAATTATTATAATACAGATTTTTCATCAGTTTTGCCAATGAAAAATTTCAGTTTTCTCTTCAGTACCCGGTTACTGATGTGTCAACTATTCCCAGTTCATCTTGTGAATTAAAATCTACTCAAACAGTGAGACTTTCCTCACACATTTATCACGTTACTGAACTCAAATATTTGCTGTTACTTAGAAAAAATATTTGTCTTCCTAGAGTGTCAGAATTCAGGCACATGCTATTACTCAACATCAAAACACTCAGTTCAATAGACTTGGCCAATTTTTATTCTATTTCTGATAGGAATTGTTTTTAAAGGGTAATCAAGATTCACCTTTACCTGTTCTATTAACTTACAGAAATACTGTACGGGCACTGTTGGTTTAAGGTAAACAAAATATTACGTGCCACTGCTTTGAAACCTTCCTGGCCACTATGCTGAGCCACCATCCTTCCCAATTCCTACCATTATAACCAGTAACTTTTTCACTGGATCACAATTAAGAGAATGGGGTTACAACCAACCACCCAGAACTGGTACTTTGTAACACAAGCATGACTTCTGTTGCTAAGTAACAGTAAGGCAAAACACACCACCATCATCATTTTACCACATACATAAGCATTAACTACTGTTCAAAAACTTCTTATGGCCCTGTACGCACAGATTATATACAGCAGCCACAAACCAAAACAAACTCGTTTATTAGAAGAAACCTGATCACTACTTCAGTCTGTGAAAAGGCACAAATTAAGTATTGCTATGCTACACAGCCTTCTAACTCCTGCCAGCCAAATTCCCCCAGGAAGAAAAACAAGCAACGAAACACAACCACAATCAAACAACACACCAGAACTATTATAAGTGTGAACTAAAACAAGTATCTCACCTGCTTCGAGGCCACACAACAGATCGGGACCGTGAGCGTGACCTGGACCGAGATCTAGGAAAAAAAGCAGTGGAATCTCTAATTCTGCAGGATTCATACAGCTGGGATAGAGATCATTATTGTAAAAGTCACACAATATTTTGCGGGACTGTTGGCTTTACAGAAGAAACATTTACTATAACAAAGCCACAGTATATCTGGTCAGTACTGCCATCCAATGCCACTGTCCTAGGTGACTAAGCAATGACACCCTGTATCATTGAAGCTGAACAAAGAAACCTTCATCGTAGATCAAACCTGTAACTTTGGTACAATATTAACAAAAAAAGCTTGGAAACAGCAGTTCCAAAATCATATGCTTAGACTTTAACATAAAGAAAGCATTCAGACTAGTTCTGAGAGATATAACACCATAAATGTTCCTAAAAAACCATGGATTGCAAAATAGAAACTTAAAGTTTATATTAAATACATATTATATATAAATATTTAAAGTTCCAACTTCAAGTTACGCTCCCTTTGACAATGTTGTCCTTTAAAAAAAAAGGGAAAAAAAAAAAAAAAACCCACACAAAAACCACATACCTTGACCTTCTTAGAGAGCCAGACCGAGATCTGCGAGGTGAAAACGATCTATATCTACGAGGAGAGATTGACCTGGACCTACGGTAGGAAGCTGACCTTGATCTACAAAACAAAGCAAAAAACCAACCAAATCACTGCAAGGTACTTTTCAAATGGGAAAGAAGGAGCTGAGGGAGGAGTAAAAAAAAAGAATGAAAACACAACAGCTAGAACCCTACCTCCTACCACGGCTCCGACTGCGTGACCGAGAATACCTCCTTCCTCGGGACCTCGAGCGCGATCTAGACCGGGACCTGGGTTTAGGTCAGAGAAAACAGGTATCACCAAACAGCTGCAGCAACCAGTGCATGTGAGGCCCTGCTGAAGTCAAAACTCATTTAAGACAACTAAAAAAAGAGAGGAATAAAAAAAAAAAAAAACCAAAACTGAAAAACAAATGAAACAAAACAAAACAACAAAAACACACCACTAGCATCTGTCATTTGGAAAAACTCTCTGGGCCTACTCGTCTTGAGCATTTTTACTACCTAGAAAAATGTTAAAAGCTGAATTACATTTGCAGAATTACATTAGAATAGAAAACACTGTAATGCGTATTTAAAATAAACCTTGCAAGTTTGCAGGTCGACCCTCTTTGGCCCAAGGTCTAGCAGATCTAGACGATCTAGAAGTATCTATAGCCGATCGCTGCATCTAGG